GCATTCAGATTTTTGTCCGTTTGTCAAAGCACTGATCCGTCTCATTCGTCGGCCACATCTTCGAAGACTGTTGAAAATCACCTTCATAATGACACGTGTTCACCATTGGTACCTCATGCTTACCCCGAGCTCTCATACTCTGATGGTGCATTGTCTTTGAGTTGTGCGCCTTTTGGCGTCATCTGGTCCAACACCATGTGAGACGAGGCTCTAAGGAAAGCTGTCTCGGGTGTGGACCAATCAACTTCAAGGACAGTGCATACATTATCAGAGTTATGTTCTTTGTTTGCATTATGACTGCAGGTATTGTGGTCTATGCAAACACGACTCCTCGTAAAAAAGGTGTCAGTTTTGTTGCCAGAATAAAGGGTAAAAAAACAATTATCAATTATCAATGACACGTGTTATTTAGAGAGTCGTCAACCTCTGGGTGCCACTCCAATACCAATGACTTGGCAGTGACGTCACCACGGTGCCTGTGCCAGGCCAGGTGCACCTGCCCTCCACCACCCTGCACACGTGTGTGTGTCCCACCCATCATTTCGACCTCCTTATTGACAACTTACAAGTTGCTAAAAGTTTTTTTTCTTTCTGTTTTACCAGGTAAAACCTGCTGAGCTATGTAGCTCTTTTTTCAGAAGCGACCTGGCCACAAATGATAGCTCAACGAAGTGGCTTACCATCGTGTGGATGGTTATTATAGCACCCAAATACCCTAAACGCGTGTTTATAAATGTGGAAGGGGGGAAAAACCGGAGGCCCCGGAGAAAAATCAACGCGACCACGGGGAGAGAGACACGCAAATATACAGCAGGCGTCACGATCGGCATCGAACCCACGACCTCCTGTATACCAGGCGAGGTAGTCAACATCTCCTAGCCACCGCGGCGCTCCCATCACCCTATCCCCCATCCATCCTGAGCTTAACCCGATATTAGGGGCCATCCATCCAGTACGTTCGCATGGAGGGGGGAGGGGGGGTTAACCCAAACGCGTACGCTTGCGTATGGGGGGGGGGTCTACTGACAGTGCACGCATAGGAAACGGGGGGGGGGGGGGGTAAAGCCTCGACAATAATTTGTCTACATTGGCCTTCAAATGAGTTAGATAGTCCGGCGGGTGGACTAACTGTTGGCTTAAACACGTTAATATTATTATTCCCTGATCGCTTCTGCGTGGATTAAATATCGGCCGTTCTATAGGATTCGGGGGGGGGGGGGCGGTGTAAAAAGTCCGCGTGCGTACAGGGAGGGGTCAAGCTGTGACAGATTTGTGCGTACCTACTAAATGGATGGCCCCCTACTCTTCAGCTTACCCTTCCCTTCTCCACTCTACACACACACACACACGTGTGTCCCCCCCACTCATCATTGAAACCACCTCCTCCTCTTCCCGATTCCATCAACAACGACGACTCCCCTGCAAGAGTAAACACAAAAAATCCCCACTGCCACCCACCCCCCCTCCTGCCAGGCAATCCCCACCATCCTTACCACACCACCTGGATTCCAAGGCAAGCAGCTTCCAATTTCGTTGCATTGCTAAAGTGCAGCCTCTCCCCCCCGCCTCTCCGAAACGTATCGGCAGCACGCATACAAATTACCGCAGCATGATCACCCACCGCTTAAATCACCCCCCATCCCATTCAAATATTACCCGAGTGATGCAAACCGCTGGCTCGACACCGAAGCTTCCGCGGAACGTAACGGGCACAACGCAGTGCGGACCCACATGGTTGACTACGTACGGTGCGAAAGAATGTTCAACATGCGTATGTGTGTGTGTCTACATATACACGTAGAAATCGTGTAACAAATATACAGGCCAGTGCCAACGCAGTGCTCTGGCCGTATGGAGCGTTTGGGCGACAGTGTTTTGCTATCCAAAGCAGCGGGAAGTTCAAAGCGAGTTTCTCATGAAGAACGTCAATTCAACAATCTCGAACCCCTTCATTGTCCCCTTTCATTTCATTGAAATTAAAAAAATTCGCAGCCCTTTAGGGTCAAATACACTGTTGGATGAAGGCCTCTGCACTCCAGTGCCAGTCGCGTGAGGTTTGATTGACCGGAACTTCACCCGCACTTTGCCTGGCGCTCGGTCGACGGCGATGTTGGTGGGGAGAAATCGGCAGCGCTCGCCAGCTCATGTTCGCCGTGACCGCCGAGTTCCATTCGTCCCATGAGGAAATCGCTCCCGGCACGGTAACGTGGAATTTCCACCACTGGCTCCAAAGGGGCAAATCGATGTCGACGCGTGTGGCCGCACTTAATGATGGAATCGGTTTTTTTCCATCAGTTGTGCCTCCTGTGCCTGTTGTGATTTGGCGTCCAGATTCAGGTGCGATGAATTTGTTTGAAGGGTTGAAACGCTTTGCCGGATTGTTGGTGTGTTAACTGAAAAATGGTGAAATCTGTAAATCGAAATAAAACTCGCGCTCACCCGCACCCAGCTCCCAGTGCCACCCCACGTGTCTCCACAGCTGTAGAATCACTCACGGGGGGGGGGGGGGGGACAGCGGCTGTCTGTGTGGCGAGCAAGCAACCTGAGCTGTGAGCTGTGAGTGGAGTGAGGAGCCAGACAGAGAGTTCTTCCAGACTGGGATGACAGCCTCGGGACATCGATGGTGATGATGACGGTGATGATGATGATGGTGGTGGTGATGGTGGTGGTGACAATGATGGTGATGATGGTGATGGTGATGATGGTGGTGGTGATGATGACGATGATGGTGGTGACAATGATGGTGGTGACAATGATGGTGATGACAATGATGGTGGTGACAATGATGACGATGGTGACGATGATGGTGATGACGATGATGATGGTGGTGACGATGATGATGACGGTGGTGATGATGATGGTGATGATGGTGGTGGTGGTAATGGTGATGATGATGATGGTGGTAATGGTGATGACGGTGATGGTAATGGTGATGACGGTGATGATGATGGTGGTAATGGTGATGACGGTGATGATGGTGATGATGGTGGTGGTGATGATGGAGGTGGTGATGATAATGGTGGTGATGATAATGGTGGTGGTGATGATGGTGATGATGATGACGGTAGTGACGATAACGGTGGACACTGGCACTGATATGACGGTCGCAATCATGATGGCCAAGGTGACACTCAGTTTGAAACAATGTTTGAACCTCATTAAAATGATATGTAAGACTGCATATTTTTAATTGTAAACTAAGCCCAACTGTATTTTACCCAATTTTAAATTCATCGCATCCGAAAAGTGTTTTTGTTTATCAAGCCTCGGGAGTTTTTTTTTGCTTTACTTTTTTTTCTTAAAAACCTTTCCACAAAGATCCCAATTCCCTCCTGGGATATACAGTACCGGCGCGTGAATAAAATACTTAACAAGTGACTGCTGACGAGCATTATGCACGCAACGTTTATGTATAAAGGAGTTTATCAAAAAACGTCAAATTTTTTTTCTGTACAAAGTAAGGTTTTTTTTTAAGCTCGTGTTTAGTGCAGTTTATTCGTACTTTTATTTTTTTAAGTGAAAAAAATCGTTGTGGCTGGAGCTCATTATCCACAGGCTAAACCCCTCCTCCCCCCCCCCAAACGCAGCGGTAGAAATTCCACATTCCTTTGGCGGGGCACAGTCTGTCCAAAGCATGACCCCACCTGGCTGAGTGGTGACGGTGGCGGCGGTGCTGCGGTCCGAGCGGTTGACTCGTGACCGGTAGGTTGCGAGTTCAAACCCTGGTGCGGGTCGCCATGGTTCATCATCTTGCTGGGGAGGGGGTCGATAAACCTGATGCAACTTCGTGGGGATTTCAACAACGTTCATCTTATGGGACAGGCTGCCCCCCCCCCCCCCTCTCCATGGAAGAAAACAATGCGGAATTTCCAGCACTCTCTCAGAATAGCCCAAAGACGGGAGCAATGACCGATGCTCCTCTGAGCATTGAGTGCGTCACTTGTGTCTGCGCGTGCGCGCGTGAATGAATCGCAGCGATCCGTTGACGATACACTGATTGCGAGAATCCTCTGAATCAATGAGGGTTTTGTTTTGCTACGATCGGATGAGATGAGGGTTCTGTATTGCATGCATTGAGGGCCCCTTGTCAAAATAAGATTGATATTTTAACATCAACAAATCACTGTCGTCTACATATACAGATCCTCCATTTGGCCTCGCAGATCTTGGTGGCTGTTGGCGAGCGACCGGCACGGCAAAGGAGAGGTGGTGGTGCATGCTGCACCACGCCAGCCCCGCCGTCTTTGTCTCCCTGGCACCGGTGTTCACACGCCCTGCCAAGGCACTCTTTTATGGCCGAGTCGATTTAGGAGAGGCCCAGGTCCTGGTGTTACATCTCTGGGTTTCATTGCGCAGGGCGCAGTAACCACCGCACCCTACCGCTCCGTTATGCGCGCACGCAGGCGTGTGGATACCATACTTAACATATGGCTTTGGTATTATGTACTTTGTGTGTGTGTATATATCTGTACTTTTAGTACACCAACCTAGTCGGCTTACCAGACAGTGAACCGGGTATACATTTGAACATTCTATTGCTGGGATCGGTCGTGTTTAAGATCATCAACGAAGCCAGCCGAAGCTCCCGCGAATGGATGCCATAGAAGCTGAATTCCCGCTCCCAGCCCCCCAAGAACTCCCACGCAGTTCATGCCGGCAAATCCACCGCTAGTCACGGCTCTGCAATAAACATTGTGAATGTTGTCAACACATCTTAATTTGCGTTTGCCAATTCCCTCCACCATCCGACGCAGCCGATGAGCAGTCGCGTGTACAATTAGCAACGAGTCTCTAATTTCCATTGTGAGAATTGTTCTCCAGCTTGCCGGTGAGTGAGCTAAAAGAATCAGGAGAGGAATAGTAGTAGGTTTTTACCCTTTAAACTGGTACAAAACTGACACCTTTATACAAGGCATCATGTTTGCAATAACCGCAACACATGCAATTTGACTGCTTGTGTTGCGGTTATTGCAAACATGATACCTTGTATAAAGGTGTCAGTTTTGTACCAGTTTAAAGGGTAAAAACCTACTACTATATTTTGCCACTGGTAAAGGAGGTCTCAGTGTAAAGGAGAGGAATGTAGCGTGTTGTTCGACACGCGTACACTGGCGTGACAATTCTTTTATATGACTGTGTTGGGTGGTGGAGGGTAAATTAACTCAACGCAAATTTGGCACAAATCACGATGTCGTTGCCGAACCCGGAAGAGCGATCGTGAATCGTAGCATTGGCTGCGGAAAAATCCCAGGTGTTAAGAAGTTGAAAAATAATTCGCGTCATCGAGGGAAGACTCGCGCGCTCGTCTCACTCGCCGAACCTCAGGACTCATTTTCAAGAGAGTCCTGAATCAGGCCATTATGAGCAACGAATTATTAAAACTATTCTGTTGCTTGTCGAAACAATTTCATTGTTGGAAAATGCAATTAGCGAACTGTCAATCGTCCAAACAATTAAATTGTCGAACTGTTGATCGTTGAAACAATTAAATTGTCGAAACAAATTCCGTTTGTTTTCCGTTCATTGTCCTAAAACCCGGACCACCTGGAGAAAACCCCACCTTGTATACGATGGGTTAATGCTCGAAAGGTCTGCACATATGGGTTCGCACAACCATCCCCCCCCCCCCCCTTGTTGTACCGCACATCTGGCTTAACCCGAAGCCCCTAGCGGGTTTGGGAGTTTTGTAAAATCTCCGTGTGATCCGCTGACCCTTTCCTCAATCATGCCGGATCACAGATGAACTAAACTTTTATTTTTATTTTATACCTACGTGACTTTACCGAATGAACCAAAGAGTAGAAACTTTTCTTCTGTTGAAGCCCCACTGAGCTAATACTGTGCCAGTTCTTTTTCCGGAAGCGACCTGGCCACAAATGATAGCTCAACGAAGTGGCTTATCGTCAGGTGGCAATTTGGAGCAGCCAAATATTCTAAACGCAACAAATACAGATACGCGACACCGCAGCTTCCTAGGTTGGAGTCCATTCACTGGTTGTCAAGCTTCTTCATTGTACAGCGTCCGTCCCTACGTCCTCTAATCGTCACTCACCCTCTCTTTAATAAAACGACGTTCGGTGTCGTTGTTGTGGTTTTTCAAATCATAAATAATCGGCAATCGTTGGCCGATTCCCGTTTTCCCGGTTGGATTGGACAAAAAAAAACCCAATCGCTCTTGAAAGTACATTGACCGGAAACATAATGGCTTTCTCGCGGTGATGATGACATCGTGGAGTCTTACAGGATTGCTTTGGTAAAGTCCCTTGCGGCAATTCCTGGTGCTGTTGGTATGGGTCAACAGTGGCGGCAAGGGTAGCAGGTTTACAAGGCGACACCACTATAAATTCCACGTTCCAGTGGCAGGGCCCAGTCCAGCAGCCAATGGATGAGAATTGCGGACCTCCCGACCACAATCACCTGTTATCGTCGTCATCGTCATCACAACGTTGAGGTTTAGATGGCCATGATTGTTGCGACGACGCTCTTCCTTGCCGACGCAATCCCAGCGATCGTCATCCCCCATCCGTGACGGCGAACGCAACGACGATGTCGTCGACCGCAACAGTTTGGGCGGCCACGATTATTGGCGAGTCCGCGGGGGGCAGCTCTCCATCGCCCTCCTCAGTCCCGGCAGGGTGGCTCTCCCGGCCCAAAAGAGGTCGTGGTCGGAGGAGGTGCTGAGTCTCTTGACGAGGTTCTTCTCGTAGAGCAGGGGGTGGTAGGCCCCCTCGGTGCACGCCCGGTCCGTGTAGTCCTCGTGGTAGTGGCACAGGTCGGTGCGGCGCCGCGACGGCAGGAACTCGTAAACGCTCACCTCGTCGCAAAGCCACATCATCAGCACGACGCCTGCTCGCGCACGCACGCACGCACGTGGAGACACGCGTTAAGGGGGGGTGGGGGGCACGTACAGACCGAGATGCGGGCACGCACGTTTCACGCTCGGCTAAAAACAAAACGGTTTGTATCTTAGCAGGTAAGGCTCACCGGAGCTACAACAGCTATTTTTCAGAAGCGACGTGGCCCAACAAATGAAGGCACTCATCGACGCGGCTTATCGCCGTGTGGACATTCACCGCAGCCAAATACTCTAGCCGCACGTTGATTCTAAACGCGGGCCGGAGGATCCGGAGAAAAATCTACGGCGACCACGGGGAGAACGCACAAACTCTCAATATACAGCGGGCGTCAGGGTCTGGGTTGTGCCCACGATCTCCTGCGTACCAGAGCAGGTCTGTCGACAGACCTGCTCTCCACCTGAGGACGGCTGCTTGCGTTGTGGCCGAAACGTCGTGAGAATTATTTTATTATGTTTTATTTTTATTATTTTATTCTTTCCATTCTACGTGACTTTACCGAAAGAACCAAGAAGATGAATCCCTGCAGTCACGAAAGCTTTATTGCAAAGTGGTCACTCGTGCTCTGTAGGTGGTGTCGCTTGCACGAGGTGCAGCAGCGGGCTTTGTCCAGCAGATGGGGCACCGCTGTGCTGAGCGCGCGTCAAGTACGAATAAGCCCATCTCGCCTGACCCAGTGGCCCAGCCACTTCTACGGGAAAAGCCTCAGCTGGCCCCTCCGAGTATTTTAAGCAGAAAACGATGAATCTACTTTGAGATGTTTCTTATTCTTGGTTCTTTCGGTAAAGTCACGTAGAAGGGAAATAATAAAATAATAAAAATATAAAACAATAAAATTCGCACGACGTTTCCATTGCTTGTGTTGCAGTCGAAACGTCGTAAGAATTGTATTGTTTTATATTTTTATTGTTTAATTACTTCCCTACTACGTGACTTTACCGAAAGAACCAAGAAGATGAATCCCTGCAGTCACGAAAGCTTTAAATCTAAAAGAGCTTCACAGCTCATCGGATTCCTCCAGTATGAATTCAAATTCTGAATTCTGATCGTAGGGTCCTACTCGCTGACGGCGCTTGCTCCAACAAGTCTGTGAAGGCTAAAACGGGGGGGCGGGGGGGGGGGGGCGGGGGGCGGTGGGGGGCGGGGGGGCGGGGGGGGCGGGGCGGGGGGGGGGGGATGGGGGGGGGATGGGGGGCGGGGGGGGGATGGGGGGGGATCTTTTGCCTGCGTACCCAGGAAGCCGGAGGACGGTGGGTTGGGCTGGATGCGCTCCGTGGCGCTGTCCTGCAGCAGTTCCCAGATGCGCCACAGGTAGGCGGGGTGCAGCACGAACGCCGGCTGCGTTGGGTGGCGTTGCCGGCGGCGCAGGAACGCAGGGAAGAAGTTGTAGTCCGGGTCGTGGAACCACTGGGGGATGGCCGAGATGGGGAGGACTTGTCAAAGGCACACGCACATCCACCTCGTACCGCATGTGTGTGTGTGGTGGTGTAGCGGTTAGCGCTACGCTGCGATACGAACCTGGCGAGCCGGGTTCGATTCCCGCTCACGGCCAACACCGGTGACGATTGTTTTAACTGGTCCTGGGCCTCCCCTAGGTCGACTCAGTCTCAAATGAGTACCTGGTGCGGTGTGTAAACATCACCGCTCGGGAAACAAGGGCGGTCTGGCGTGGTGCTGGCCACCCATCCCCTGGTGTACCGTTCTGGCCTTCATAGGTGCTCGCTAACAGCACTTGCCCCTACAGTCTGTGAAGGCTACACGGGGGATCTTTGTGCCTGTGTGTGGTGGTGTAGCGGTTAGCGCGACGCTGCGCTATGAACCTGGCGAGCCGGGTTCGATTCCCGCTCATGGCTAACACCGGTGACGATTGTTTGAACCGATCCTGAGCCTCTCCTAGGTCGACTCAGCCTCAGATGATTACCGTACCATGAGTACAGTGACCTCAGTTGGATTCCCGGCAACAGCGACCATCTGTGGCTACGTAATGTGAACCGGCCACAGTCTTAAATGAGTACCTGGGGAGACAAAGGCGGTCGGGCACTTTTCTAACCACACTACCTCCCTCTCCTCGTGCACCGTACCGGCCTTCATAGGTGAGCTACTCGCTAACAGCAGCACTTGCCCCAACATTCTATTGAAGGCTATACGGGGGAATCGTATGACTTTGTCATTGTCCAGCACTTGCCCCAACATTCTATAGAAGGCTATACGGGGGAATCTTATGACTTTGTCATTGTCCAGCACTTGCCCCAACATTCTATTGAAGGCTATACGGGGGAATCGTATGACTTTGTCATTGTCCAGCACTTGCCCCAACATTCTATTGAAGGCTATACGGGGGAATCGTATGACTTTGTCATTGTACACCACTTGCCCCAACATTCTATTGAAGGCTACACGGGGGAATCGTATGACTTTGTCATTGTCCAGCACTTGCCCCAACATTCTATTGAAGGCTATACGGGGGAATCGTATGACTTTGTCATTGTACACCACTTGCCCCAACATTCTAGGGAAGGCTATACGGGGAAATCTTATGACTGTCATTGTCCAGCACTTGCCCCAACATTCTATTGAAGGCTATACGGGGGAATCGTATGTCTTTGTCATTGTACACCACTTGCCCCAACAGTCTGTTGGCGGCGTAGTGCCCCCCCCGCCCCGCCCCCCACCCCCTGTACCTGTGTCAGGTTGAGTGAGTACGGCGCCGGGTCCCACACAAGCAGCGCCACGTCACGGTAGAGAGTGCTCCGGGAGAAGTTGTTCTGAGGCCGAGCCAGGATCTGCGAACGCGAGGGGCAGACCCGGGAGGGGGGTGATTCTTAGACGCCCTCTTGAACCCTTTCACGGCCCGCCGCCGTCTAAACTAAACTACTTCTTAGTTTAACAGGTCACGGCCCCGCTGAGGCTGTGTAGATCTTTTTCGGAAGCGACTTCGCCCTGCAAATGATAGCTCAGCAAAAGCGTATTATCACGTGGAACTTTATTGCAGCAAAATTCTCTATTAGAACTATTTTACAAACGATATTTTTTATTTTACTTTTTACTAGGTAAGGCCCCGCTGAGGCTGTGTAGATCTTTTTCGGAAGCGACTTCGCCCTGCAAATGATAGCTCAGCAAAAGCGTATTATCACGTGGAACTTTATTGCAGCCAAATTCTCTATTAGAACTATTTTACAAACGATATTTTTTATTTTACTTTTTACTAGGTAAGGCGCCCTGAGGCTGTGTAGATATTTTTCAGAAGCGACTTCGCCCTACAAATGATAGCTCGACAAAGTGGCTTATCACGTGGAAATTTATAGCATTAGCCAAACACCGTAAGCGCACGTCGATTCTTCAAATGTGGAGGGAGAAACCGGAGGACCCGGAGAAAATTACCCACGACTACGGCGAGAACAAGCAAACTCCAAGGTGTCCGAGTCTGGATCGAACCCACGACCTCCTGTATACCGGGCGAGGTGGCTAACATCTCATAGCCACCGCGGCAATGTATTCCTGGGACCCAGCAATGCACCTCCAGTGGGGGAGGAACGTTCCAATGTTTTCTCTCGACCCAGAACACCCCCTGTTCAAAAGCCAGCCGATCGACAGACGTGTCGTGTGTGGTGGGGTAAAGTGTGGGTACCCCCAACTCTATCCAAGATGCCTGACCAGCGTGGAAGAGTAGGCCAAATACCCTCTTAGAGGAGCTCTCTGGAGCCCCCGCCTAGGAGCGGAGGCCCCTTCTGCCAACAGTGGCGTGAGCAGGCAGCTGCAGGGCCGCGCCTTCATCCGTTACTTGTTCTACTCTGTTACTGGTTCTACTCTGTTACTTGTTCCACTCTGTTACTTGTTCTACTCTGTTACTTGTTCTACTCTGTTACTTGTTCTACTCTGTTACTTGTTCTACTCTGTTACTTGTTCTACTCTGTTACTTGTTCTACTCTGTTACTTGTTCTACTCTGTTACTTGTTCTACTCTGTTATTGGTTCTACTCTGTTACTGGTTCTACTCTGTTACTGGTTCTACTCTGTTACTTGTTCTACTCTGTTACTTGTTCTACTCTGTTACTTGTTCCACTCTGTTACTGGTTCCACTCTGTTACTGGTTCTACTCTGTTACTTGTTCTACTCTGTTACTTGTTCTACTCTGTTACTTGTTCTACTCTGTTACTGGTTCTACTCTGTTACTGGTTCTACTCTGTTACTGCTTCTACTCTGTTACTTGTTCTACTCTGTTACTTGTTCTACTCTGTTACTGGTTCTACTCTGTTACTGGTTCTACTCTGTTACTGGTTCTACTCTGTTACTGGTTCTACTCTGTTACTGGTTCTACTCTGTTACTTGTTCTACTCTGTTACTTGTTCTACTCTGTTACTTGTTCTACTCTGTTACTTGTTCTACTCTGTTACTTGTTCTACTCTGTTACTTGTTCTACTCTGTTACTTGTTCTACTCTGTTACTTGTTCTACTCTGTTACTGGTTCTACTCTGTTACTTGTTCTACTCTGTTACTTGTTCTACTCTGTTACTTGTTCTACTCTGTTACTGGTTCTACTCTGTTACTTGTTCTACTCTGTTACTTGTTCTACTCTGTTACTGGTTCTACTCTGTTACTGGTTCTACTCTGTTACTTGTTCTACTCTGTTACTTGTTCTACTCTGTTACTGGTTCTACTCTGTTACGTGTTCTACTCTGTTACTTGTTCTACTCTGTTACTGGTTCTACTCTGTTACGTGTTCTACTCTGTTACTGGTTCTACTCTGTTACGTGTTCTACTCCGTTACTTGTTCTACTCTGTTACTGGTTCTACTCTGTTACTGGTTCTACTCTGTTACTGGTTCTACTCTGTTACGTGTTCTACTCCGTTACTTGTTCTACTCTGTTACTTGTTCTACTCTGTTACTTGTTCTACTCTGTTACTGGTTCTACTCCGTTACTGGTTCTACTCTGTTACTTGTTCTACTCTGTTACTGGTTCTACTCCGTTACTGGTTCTACTCTGTTACTTGTTCTACTCTGTTACTGGTTCTACTCTGTTACTGGTTCTACTCTGTTACTTGTTCTACTCTGTTACTGGTTCTACTCCGTTACTGGTTCTACTCTGTTACTTGTTCTACTCTGTTACTGGTTCTACTCCGTTACTGGTTCTACTCTGTTACTTGTTCTACTCTGTTACTGGTTCTACTCCGTTACTGGTTCTACTCCGTTACTGGTTCTACTCTGTTACTTGTTCTACTCTGTTACTGGTTCTACTCTGTTACTTGTTCTACTCTGTTACTGGTTCTACTCTGTTACTTGTTCTACTCTGTTACTGGTTCTACTCTGTTACTTGTTCTACTCTGTTACTGGTTCTACTCTGTTACTTGTTCTACTCTGTTACTTGTTCTACTCTGTTACTGGTTCTACTCTGTTACTGGTTCTACTCTGTTACTTGTTCTACTCCGTTACTGCTTCTACTCTGTTACTTGTTCTACTCTGTTACTTGTTCTACTCCGTTACTGCTTCTACTCTGTTACCTGTTCTACTCTGTTACTTGTTCTACTCTGTTACTGCTTCTACTCTGTTACTGCTTCTACTCTGTTACTTGTTCTACTCTATTACTGCTTCTACTCTGTTACCTGTTCTACTCTGTTACTTGTTCTACTCTGTTACTGCTTCTACTCTGTTACTGGTTCTACTCTGTTACTTGTTCTACTCTGTTACTTGTTCTACTCTGTTACTGCTTCTACTCTGTTACCTGTTCTACTCTGTTACTGGTTCTACTCTGTTACTGCTTCTACTCTGTTACTTGTTCTACTCTGTTACTGCTTCTACTCTGTTACCTGTTCTACTCTGTTACTGGTTCTACTCTGTTACTGCTTCTACTCTGTTACTTGTTCTACTCTGTTACTGCTTCTACTCTGTTACCTGTTCTACTCTGTTACTTGTTCTACTCTGTTACTGCTTCTACTCTGTTACTGGTTCTACTCTGTTACCTGTTCTACTCTGTTACTTGTTCTACTCTGTTACTGCTTCTACTCTGTTACTGCTTCTACTCTGTTACTTGTTCTACTCTGTTACTTGTTCTACTCTGTTACTTGTTCTACTCTGTTACTTGTTCTACTCTGTTACTTGTTCTACTCTGATACGTGTTCTACTCTGTTACTGGTTCTACTCTGTTACTGGTTCTACTCTGTTACTTGTTCTACTCTGTTACTTGTTCTACTCTGTTACTTGTTCTACTCTGTTACTTGTTCTACTCTGTTACTTGTTCTACTCTGTTACTTGTTCTACTCTGTTACTGCTTCTACTCTGTTACTTGTTCTACTCTGTTACTTGTTCTACTCTGTTACTTGTTCTACTCTGTTACTTGTTCTACTCTGTTACTTGTTCTACTCTGTTACTTGTTCTACTCTGTTACTTGTTCTACTCTGATACGTGTTCTACTCTGCTTTGTCTTGTGCTACACCGCAGCGCTTGCCTGGGAGTTAACGAGACGGATCGTGGTCTTGGTCCCGACGTCATTCTCGAAGTGTTCGGTCGGCGCGGCGTTGAAGCGGAGCACAGCGTCGTGAGCGTCTGTCGGAGGAGGGGCGCGATGGTGAGGGCCTTTAAAGGAACTCGCAACATGAACCCACAACGTCAACACTGACCCACAGCCTCAACACTGACCCACAGCATCATCACTGACCCACAGCCTCAACACTGACCCACAGCATCATCACTGACCCACGGCCTCAACACTGACCCACAGCATCAACACTGACACACAGCCTCAACACTGACACACAGCCTCAACACTGACACACAGCCTCACTCACCCACAGCCTCAACACTGACACACAGCCTCAACATTGACACACTGCCTCAACACTGACACACAGCCTCAACACTGACACACAGCCTCAACACTGACCCACAGCCTCAACACTGACACACAGCCTCAACACTGACCCACAGCCTCAACGCTGACCCACAGCCTCAACGCTGACCCACAGCCTCAACACTGACACACAGCATCAACACTGACCCACGGCATCAACACTGACCCTCAGTGTCACTGGAGGCTTTAGGTCAGTCACATGGTTGGCTACACGTGACCTACTATAGCGGTTCGCTGCTGCATACTAATGCGTGTGTGTATCGTATATCTGACGAGGCCATTGTGAGCCTCCTGTGGACAACAATACCCAGCGACAGGGTTGGAGGTCACGACCTGGGAGGTGCTTGTTCAATGTATGTTGAACTTCTTTCGCGCCGTACGAGGCCAACCGTGCTCAACAAACCAAACACCAAAATCAGTTCGAAAATTGATGGAGCATTCAATCTCGATGATTTAAAATTGCACGGGCCATGACAAAAAGAAACGAGGTTCATTTTACCAGGTAAGGCCCACCGAGCTTTGTGGCTCTTTTTCAGAAGCGGCCTGGCCACAAATAATAAGCCCAACGTGGACATTTATAGCAGCCAAATACTCTTAACGCGCGTTTCCCAATGTGGTCGGAAAAACCGGGGATCAAACCCACAACCTCCTGTAGAACAGGTGAGGTAGTTAACATCTCGGCACCGCATCGCCCTGATGATCTGGCTGAATCGCTCAACCACCGCTACCATCTCATTGCTTCTCTCAAACCTTTCCAGTTGGTGGAACGTGTGTGGAAGGGGTGTGGGGGTAAGAAGGAGAGGGGTGGGGGAGGTGACACACACACAACCCTCACCGATTTCTCGTCCCAGCCCCGACCCGAGCATGGCTCCTGCCGACGACACGACGGCACAGCGCTCCAGCGAGCGCCCCCCGGACACGGCGCGCTCCAGCCCGCCCGCGTCCAGCGCCTCCCTCCACGCGCCCATCGCGGAGAAGGGCGCCTCGGAGCCTCCGAGCGTGAGCGTCGACCGCAGCGCCGCCACCCGCTCGGCCACCAGGCACAGGAGGTCGCGGCGGCCGGCCGCCGACAGCGGCCCCGCGGGAGGAGGCCGCCCGACCGCTCCGGCGTAGCGCACGCCGTGCTTGTTCTGCTCGATGTACTTCTCGCGCGCCCGCTGCAGGCGCGGCGCCAGCTGCCGCGAGCCCGTGCCCTCGTTCCACACGCCCGCGTGGATCGCGCGTGGCCACGCGGCGGGACGCGCCGCGGGCCGCGGTCGCGGCCGTCGTTGGGGCCACCGGGGTTGTTGGTGTCTCGGTCGGGGTTGTTGGGGTCGGGGTTGCTGGGGTCGCGGTCTCGCCCGGCCGTTCCCCACGGAACCTCCCGCCGGCGCGACGCCGTCTCGCGACACGACCTTCAGGACGCCGCTCCTGCCGTGCGCCCTCCGGAACGCCGGCCCGTCGCCACCGGCCTCCGCGGGCGGCGGCGGCGAGAGCTCGGCCCCTGCCCCGAGCCGCCCGTCTTCCCGATTGGCGAGCAGCAGAGCCCGGGGGGGATTCCCCGCGAAGGATTCCGCCGGACCCGGCCGCGCCGGCCCGCGGAATCCGTCGTCCCGTCGCCTCCCGCCGATTCCACCGTCATCGGCGGCGCTCGGAGGTTTCCGCGAGGGTCGCGGGCGGCGGCGGTCGCCGCCGTCACCGCCGCTCCCCAGGAGTCGCGTGACGGCGCCCAGCGAGCGCGAGAGGGCGGCGGGAGCGTAGGTGTCGCGGTTGACGTCGCCCAGCAGCAGGCACACGGCGGCGAGCGCCAGCAGCCACGAGAGGAAGCAGGCGACGAGGAAGAGGCGCCAGCCGGGCACGCGCCGGCGCTGACAGGCCATTTCCCACAATCCCACCCGGCCTGCCACGGTTGCCTTCCTCCGGCGGCAGGAGAGGCGCTGTTGCTACCGGCAGCAACAGCAGGAGTAGCACTTGCGCAGTGTGGTTCACACGGGCCCGTGTTGCAAGGAGCTAAATCGGAATATTTTGACAGGAGGAATCCGATGAGCTGTGAAGCTCATCAAAGTGGTGCCCGCCCACCCCCTCCCCCCGTCACAGTCCCCCTTCCTTGCGGCCTGGAGCCTGGACCCGTTCCGACCCAGTGCCGGTCTCACTGCGTGCGCACTCAACGGCGAAGTCGTCCAGCGGCTGTGACGGCACTACCGCTCCACGACCATCGCTGCCGCCCTTATTGGCACCGCCGCGACTCAACTCCTCCTCCTCCCTCCCGTTGTTCCGCTCACCATCCCTCCCCCTCCCGGGCCGCCCAGCCCCCCCCCCACACCGTCAGGTGCGTGAGAGTCTCCCGGTCGGGGGGGGGGGGGGGCAGGAGAGTCGGTCAGGAGCTCATCGCGTGAGAGGCGAGTGCCGATCTGACACACGGAGAGAGAGACGCGGTGGCGGGGGGGGGGCAGAGCAAGGCTCAAAGTTAATGGGCCATCGTTGACGATGCTGCCGCCGTTGTTTCGGAAGGGGGGGCAAAGGTCAATGTAGGTTCACGCGTACTTCTACTCGACAAATTTTCAAAAAGCAATGCCGGGTCTTATCTTGTGATTAAGGCCAATGAAGATACCAACAATAACAGTCGCCATTTGTCACTTCAGTTGGCTCGTGAGCGACAACTGGGGGGGCGTGGGGTCATTTACGCCACGGTTCCGGTATCACCGCTCCGTTCGGTCGCAATCTTATCTCTTATACATCGCAACTTACTCAGTGGCGATAAAACCAATAGCAGCCGCACCCTTAACGGACTCATGCCCAGTCTGGGGCTGGTGCTACGTGACGCTACGTCACACGGGGTACGGCTGTACGTATGTACGTGTACGCGGTTAGCGCGTTGATCTACAAACCCGGCGACCCGAGTTCGATTCCCGCTCACGGCCACCAACACCCAGTGGCAATTATCTGAACCGGTCCCGGGCATTCGGCAAGGACCCTTTCGAAGATGCGGGTCTGATTTTGACAGGGAAATAATCACTAACGTCATTGCGGACAATATAAATAACCAAATAGATCAGCAGACAATACAATGACGGGGTCATCACGTGAAGTGCGTAAGGCTCGCTGGCAGGAAGTCAGGGGACAGACCCGGGTAGGTGTTGTAAATTACCTGAGATGACTGGCATCTCTCAGACTGATTAACTGCACCTATTAAGGCCGGCACAGCACACGATAGGGTGGCCAGCACCATGCCCCACCGTCTTTGTCTCCCCAGTGCTGATGTTTATACACCGCACAATGTACTCATTTAAGGCTGAGTCGACCTACACCAGCACACATTCCAGCATGCACACACTGTGTGTGGGGGGGGACCGGTGGCACAGCGGTTAGCGCGTTGTTCTACAAACCCGGCGACCCGAGTTCGATTCCCGCTCACGGCTACAAACACAAGTGGCAATTATCTGAACCGGTCCTGGGCCTTCCCTAGGTCTTTCGCACCGTACGTAGCCAACCGAACTAATCGGAGGTGTGGGAGCAAGGACAACAATCTATTTAGAATTTTAAACGACAACTGGGAATTGGAATGATAAGAGATAAGATGGAAAAACGTGTAAAGAAGCCGGGGTGATTAAGCCAGCGCGCAATAAATGCAAATCCTTCGCCCGTCTCATCTCTCTTTTCTTTCCGTCGCCTCTTCAGAATCGGAATATTAATTTACACCGGAGGAATCCGATGAGCGATAAAGCTCTTTTTCAAAGATGTCCAATCGTTGTTTGTTCTGTCCTCCCCTACTCTTGTTTCCTTTCACTTGTTTTTGTATTGACGGGGGTAATGGCAGCTGTCATATCTTCGTTGCCCAGACGAGACATCCCACTTGTCCGCAAGACCGGCTCGCAGTTCCAATTTCGTTCCGTGACCAACAACAGACAACAGCGAATTGTGTTAAAATGAGTGGGGGGGGGGGGAGTGTTAACAAGTCATTCACTCTTATCGGCACGAATAAAGTAACTAATTTAGGTGATTTAAAGCTTTCGTGACTGCAGGGATTCATATTCTTGGTTCTTTCGGTAAAGTCACGTAGAAGGGAAACAATGAAATAATAAAAATATAAAACAATACAATAAAAACAAAAAAATAAAATAATATTTTTTTTATTTTATTGTTTCCCTTCTACGTGACTTTACAAAAATAACTGAGAATATAATTTAGGTGGGTACCATTTTCTCCTCTGGCCCATAGACTATCAACCATAGCAAACGTAGCCAGACCACCAATTAAGATATTTCCTTATGATAATGCTATACTCAATGAATTTTTTTGAACCCTATTCATTCTTTCCTATTATATTTTTCCAGGAACAAAAATCCAACGTGCTGGTGTTTCCCCAGTGTTTCTCTTCTGCAGTACGCATCTGTCAAACGCGTCCGCGTAGAGCAGTGTTCACTTCCAGTACAATTTTCACAACATTTCACCTAAGGTCTTAGATAATGCGATCAGCTGGATGAAAGCCACTCGCTGCTTCGTTAGACCCTGGGGTCCTCCGGAGCCGCATGCGGCTCTTTAAAGTCTACTTCCTCACGTTATTTAGGGCGGCTAGATGTGAACTACCTCGCCTGGTATACAGGAGGTCGTGGGTTCAATCCCAACGGATGCCTGCTGTATATTTGGAGTTTGTCTCTACCCATGGTCGCGTGGATTTTTCTCCGGGTCCTCCGGTTTTTCCCTCCACTTTTAGCAACGTGCGTTTTTCCACATGATAAGCCACTTCATTTGGCGATCATTTGTGGCCAGGTGGCTTCTGAAAAAAAATTACGTTGCTCCATGGGCCTTACCTGGTAAAATAACAAATATCATAGTATTTATTAAGGAACACCGCCTCATATTCACGTGCGTTGCAGCTCTTGAAAGTCTTTTTTACCGAAAATCGAAAAAAAATGCCCCGTTATTTTGGTTGCTGACCCATGGCTCGAGTCCAACTCAAATGATGAAGGGATTTTTTTTTCTTTTCACCCCATCATTGGCTTAGCCCAACTATTTTTTTTAATCACGAACGGTTGTCATTTGGTGTATTTGTCCGGTGCTTTCAATGAAGTTATGTGGTGGAAAAACCAAAAAAGAATCCACAGAAACGGTGCAAATATCGACCCCCCAGTGTTTTAACTTATTGTCGTTTTCTTTTTAAACAATCTGCAGTGGGTGGTAACAGATCAGCGTCGGGATTTTCCACGATTTCGATCTGGATTCAATGACGCTCATAAAATGGGAACGCCGCTGGGTGCAGAGGTCAGCGACAGACGCCTCTCCCTCCCGACGTGTTTTCCCTGCGTGTGCCACGCGCGGAAAATTCCGCGCACGTTCTTTACGCTCGGTTATGCCCGACGTTTCGCGTCAACGCGTGCTTCGGAGGCTTCTTCAGGAACCGAATTAAAGAAACTGAACCACCATTATTACCTCATTTTCCAGTAAAAAATATGATAATTGTTTTTTTACCCTTCTATCTGGCAACAAAACTGACACCTTTTTTACGAGTCATGTTTGCATTGACCACAATACCTGCAGTCGTAATGCAAACAAAAAACACAACTCTGATAATGTATGCACTGTCCTTGAAGTTGATTGGTCTACACCCGAGACAGCTTTCCTTAGAGCCTAGTCTCACATGGTGTTGGACCAGATGACGCCAAAAGGCGCACAACTCAAAGACAATGCACCATCAGAGTATGAGAGCTCGGGGTAAGCATTTACACCATTGGTACCTCATTTGCCAGATAAAATGGTAAAAAAACAATTATCGAAACTGAACCACTTTAAAAAAAATTATCAAGCGTGGCAGGGGCGGCAGCCCTCGCTCGAGTATTGAAGCGACGCGCGCAGACATCCACGGCCTTCCTCCGCGGCCTTCCTCCGCACCTCCGATCGGCATGGTTTGCTACGTACGAGTCGAAAGAAGTTCAACATAGAAATAATAAAATAATAAAAATAGAACATAATAAAATCATTCTCACGACGTTTCGGCCACAACGCAAGCAGCCGTCCTCAGGTGAAGACCAGGTCTGTTGGGGAGACAGCGTCTGAATGCTGAATGCTGTCTTCCCGACAGACCTGGTCTTCACCTGAGGACGGCTGCTTGCGTTGTGGCCGAAACGTCGTGAGAATTATTTTATTATGTTTTATTTTTATTATTTTATTATTTCCATTCTACGTGACTTTACCGAAAGAACCAAGAAGATGAATCCCTGCAGTCACGAAAGCTTTAAATCGAAAAAAAGTTCCACATATATACCCAAACAACTTTACCACCGCTGCTGCTGCTGCTGCTACTTCTCTTTCTGCTGCTGCCTGTCAGACATTGTAACTTCGTTTCCGGGCACCTGCTCCGCTTTGAACAGATATTTCACGAACTTCCTAAAACATCTATTGTTTTCCCCCTTTTTTTTACAATGTAAAACTCCGTAACGAGAAGTTTGATTTTCGATGTACTTATTTCCCACCCTTTCCCCACTCCCGCCGAAATATGTTTGAATCGAGCTACCCATGTCATGTCACAAGACGAAGAAAGTCTTTCATTTGGAACACTGCAGCTAGCGGTGCACCACCCTGTGTCAAATAAAGGCCTCGGAAGAGGGCGTCGCAGAACCGCTTCCGAATTGTCACTTCGCTCGACCTCGATGATCCGCACCGGGGACTGATAATTTTCAACGGCGTAACTTTGCCGGGGCTAATTCGTCAAAACAACGCCGCTCATTGTTCTGACGACCGTCCACCAAGTCCGGCGGAGGTCCCGTCCCGACGAGAGCCACACACGCCCGGGGCCACGGAGGCCCGACAACAACCGCGTGGCTCGGCGATTCACGCGCAACACGCTACACCAATTGCCAAGCTGGGAAATTCAATTGGCCATGAAGTTTCGCTTGCACAGTCCATCGAGTTGAAGCTCAGGATGTGGGGAGCAGTGTGGGCCGAGTTCTGTAACCCCCCCACCCCCCACGGGGGCCACGCGGCCACCACCTGCACAAAGTCCAATTGTTTCTCTCTTCTCTCTGTCTCGCGTTGCAGTGATGTGTTGATTGATGGCGTGGGCATGGTGGTGGTGCGGGTATGGTGTTGGTGCGGGCATGGTGTTGGTGCGGGTATGGTGTTGGTGCGGGTATGGTGTTGGTGCATGCGCGGTGTGGGTATGGCGTGGGCATGGTGGTGGTAAGGGCTAGTTAAGATCCAATGCAGTGGTAATGGATAATGTGTTACCAGTAATATGCATCACTGGAATAATAATTGAATTGCTGAGTGTCGTTGTGTAGAGTATAATTAAATAAAATAGTTGCGTAGAATATAATGAAATAAAATACATAAGCATCCATATTGTGTCCTTCCCATATTTGAATACACACGTAAAATGTTTTTTTTCTTACAAAAACCCATCGCCCAAATGGGC